TCGCAAATGAACTTTGAACAAATACAAGGCTCAGGGCTGTGGATCTCTTGGTTCAGAACGTTCAACTGTCGTTCGAGCTTGTTTTAGAGAAGCACAGACTGTGTAATGCCGAAGCCTCAGTACCATAAGAGAAGATTCAGAATGCTTTAATTTTTTGAGTCATTTGGCGGCCATTACAGTAATATGAGAACGATTTATTCGTATCCCAAAGACACGTTCAGAAGAAGCGTTGTAGAGGTACTACGAACGAAAATCATGCTCAAGTGTGCTTTTCCCACCTCTAAATCCTAAAACGGAAGGTAAAAGTTATTTCCTAAAACGGCCGTAAGAAGTCTGTGCCACGGTCCGGAGCCGCTTTCCAGGTCCCTCTATCGAGGATCGCCAATTACCAACCTCATAGAGGGAACTGTCACAGGTCTAGTGTCCGAGCTCTTTGTGAGTTTATGTCCATCAATGACCTGCGGAGTTTCCTGAGCATCCTCCATTTTCGGCTTCCAGAGCTCTAGCTGAACTTTGGCATTTTGCAAACTGGCATAGTCGTATGGCAGTGTGAGCCCCAGATAATACACAGGCACTTCCCCGCCAACAAAAGCAGCAGCAGGAATGACCCAGCCTTGAGGACGCCAGTAGGTGGGAATAAGTTCGGGGCCAACAAGGACATACATGGGCTTGACAGGTTTTCCAAATTTCCTCGCAGCATCAGCCAGCAGTGTGTCGATGCTAGGGAACCCAGTTTCTGTCGCTTTATCACGGAGGAGACCCGTACCGACTTGGAAAAAGATTGCGGTGATATATGTGATTTTGTCGCAAAACATGAAAGAGTCGAAGAATGACACGGTGGATTTATGGGGAATATAATAATAATTGAGCTCGAGGTTGGTCGAAGTAGGGAGAGAGTGATAGTATACCATTCTCATCTTCAACTTTAGGAAATTCTGGAAAATCGTCCTTTGGCCCGGGACTCGTCCAGTACATTATTGCTTTCTGGCCTTGACGTATCGCAAGTGAAAAATCCATCGGTTGCAATGGAAGAAGTTCACAGCATAAGAAAATGGCTTTGTGCACATGCGGCTCGAAGATGTTAGCCGCCATAACCGAAGACTTTGCCGATGAAGAAAACTGGGAAAAAGCTTTTGCTTTGGCCTCGTTGGACATCTCAGCATAGTGGGCAAGCATTTTCGTTTCAATGTCAGGGGATTTCCAAACAACGTTGAATTTATCTTCCTTCTGGCGGAAGTCTCTGACCAAGTCGAGCGCGACGATGCGATGCGATATCGGTATACCCATGTACCCCACCATCATCTCAGCCTCTCCAATCCTCAGGTATTTGTTTGTGAACTCTGCCGTCAATTGCCATGCGCGATCCGGGTTACTTAAGGCCTTGTTGTAGGAGTTTTCGACGATCTCGGATCTGAAGAGATACTTGTAGACATCACCGGGTGCGTAGCCATAATGCATCATAGCGTGGTGGCTGTTATTTGGGGGTCCTGGCGATCCAGTTTTCCATTGGCCGTGTGGATTTCCAAGGCTTGAGCGAGCTGTTCTGGAAGAGGCCCAGGATATTCCGGAGGGCGTCCAGCCCAAGCGAGGATAGCGTTATCGAGGTGGGTTCGCTTGTAGTGCATTTGCCAACTGAGAAGGAATAGTTAGTGTTAGGTAGTGTATCATATAGTATAGATGAACCCGCGTAGAAGCTGATCCTCTGTCCAAAGCGGCAATCCGATCACGGCAGCGGTCCTTCTGTCCACCCAACGCCGATAAAGTGCAGGGTTAGGTGAGGCCGCTTGGACGGGAAATATTGTGCATTGTGATTCGTAGATGCTTTTAGGTTCCTCTGCCATATCCATATCTATTAAGACCCATACAGGAGGCACGGGCTCAGAATACACTGGAGAAGGGATGTAATTAAAGTGAAAATTCTTCGGGTCCGACGGAGTGTACACTTGACCATCATAAAAGAGGATCTTGATAGTAGGGGTGTACAGGAGGATTGGAGCACTACACAGTTTTGTATGTTCATCTGGCGAGTCATCAAGACTCAAGAGTACCCCAAGTAAGTAGGCCAAGAATGCAGCCTTCCCTATGATCCCGTCGAATACACGCAAAAGTAGAGATGTGGAAACATACCATTACCTGGCTGGCCCGTAATAAGTGCACCACCACGGGGGTCTTTATGATAGATATCAGCGATGCGTTTGACCGTCAATGGGTAGTCGGGCAAAACGAGCATTTCGCCATGATCAGTGTCTCGCAGGATAGGGATAGCCCGGTTCAGATCGTGCGGAACCATGAGTAAAGTTTCTGCAGAAGACGACATGAGGTGTTTTTGTTGCAGGGCCCATTTCAAGAAACCTTTCCAGTATGACTTGGCCGGCTTCCATTTAGCTTCATCGTCCTGCGGCCACGGATAGAGTCGGCGATGGCGACTTGGTTGTTCTGGTTGAGACATTAGTTTGTTATCTTATCAATGACGTTGGCGCCCAAACCTCTACCGGCGTCTATATCATATAATACATCTCCAATTCGTGTCTATGGACTCGCCGCCAGTATCTCCCTCAGCTCCGAATGGAATAAACGGAAAATCTTCATCTTCTCGAAATCACCAGCCGTCAAATCCGCCAGAAGAACCCTCTCCTGTGCCAACTGAAGGCCTCTGGTCGTCCATCCTCGACAGCGTTTCTTCTTCGCGGTCTCTCCCATCGAAAAATGTACTACTAATAGGAAATCCAGGTTCGGGGAAAAGCGCTATTGGCGAAGCGTTGCTCGGGAAACGGGATGAAAGAAAAGCAGATTTCGCAGTGGGCTATGAATGGGCCGATGTTCGCGACGAAGGAGATGAAGGTACACTAAGATTCTTTTCAACGCGTTGCTTATCTCAACTCTCGCAGATACTCTTGCTCGTTTATCACTATACACCGTTCCGTCCTCAAATCCCTCACTAACATCCCTCATCCCATACTTCCTTCCTCCAAAAACCGCCCTAGGGCACACAACAGTCATCATAGTATTAGACTGGACACAACCGTGGACATTTGTGGATCAGCTCGAAGAATGGCTCGTCTGGATTGAAGATTGGGCCAGCGGGAAATTGGCTGGAAAAGAAGCTCGGGAGCTAGAAGTGATCCGGGAAGAAAACCGAGAACGATGGCAGTCGCATTTACAGCACTATACCGAGCCTTCTCTGGATCCAACAGAATCTCTTCCAACATCATCGTCGGCATCGGCATTGTCGTCGAACACAGTGTTGCCGCTGGGCCCGGGAACACTAACACACAACGCTGCTGGTGTACCCATTATCGTTGTTTGCACCAAGGCTGATTTGATAGACGACGGGACTGATAATACTGCGGCCGCGCACGCTGGTATTGGCGGTGGAATGGTCAAGGGAAAGGGCGGAGAATGGGAAGAGCGAACAGATGGTGTCATGCAGATTTTGAGAACTTTTTGTTTGAAATGTACCTCTCTTTTTCATCTATTATCATCGTACTAATATCTCTTAGATGGCGCTGCACTCTTCTACACCGCGCCCATGCCAGAAACCCTCGCGGTCCTCCGACAATACACGCTCCATACTCTATTCGTTCCACCCGCTTCACCGTCTTCTGGCGAACAAAACAATGCTGAAACCACCGGCTCCGGTACTGGTCCTACGAAGAATCCATTCCCGTTTCCCCATCGCCCAAACACACTCGATCGTGATAGGGTCGTGATTCCTGCGGGCTGGGACTCTTGGGGGAAGATCACAATTCTACGAGAGTTTGAGCCAGCAAGGTGGGGAGAAGCCTGGGAAAAAGATCTGGAGATTATAGCGGAAGGGAAGGAGAAGGATGGAGGGGATGGAGCAAGTAGGATGTATAAAGAATTGGTTCCCGACCAGGGATCGAAGGTACCTCTTATCTGTTCGACTAAAGACCAAACACTAACTTTTTGCCGCAGCCACCACCGCTTCCACCATTCAACTCGCCCACTCCTGAACAAGCATTCCTCGCCAAACACTACGACGAGAGCAATCTGAATAAAAAGGCAGAACGTGATCCGAGAGCTGCTTTCAAGACGCCGACCACAGGAGAGGACGGATTGCAAGCGGCTGGTAAGCTTGTACCCTTTCTCATTCTTCTTTCATCAATAACTTTCCACTTGTAGGCGCAGGAATCGTCGGACCCATGGGCACCAACTCGTTCTCCCTCCCAACCGTCGAAAAGCTTTTCATGGAAATGGAAAGTTCAGCTAATATTCCTATATCAGGTACGTCTTCTTCTCGTTCTTGTGTGTATCTGCTCACTAGCCCCCTCCCCCAGACCGCTTTGCTGGTCTCGACCGCCCCGAACGCCTAGACAGATCTGAACGCAGAACACGTCCTACAAATAATCATACCTCACATGGTCATCCGCATAGGCCCTCGACGCTTTCCCCCTCTGCGCTCGGTAGCTCGCCGCCTAGTCTCAACTCGTCTCTCCGAGGCCCGAATTCGCCTTCCCCGGTCAGCCCGACAGGATCAACGGTTCAGCTGGACCAGGCTCGAGTTCGAGCCAACATGATGTATTGCAGAATTTCTTCAATAGCTTGTTGACGAGTAGGGATCGGCCCACGGGGGTTGTGCTTGGAGGACGGGAAGGGGGAAGGGAAAGGGTGCGGAGTAACGGGAGTAGTAGTAGCGGTGTAGTTGGCGGTACGAGTGCGGCTAGGAGGGAAGAAAGCCCGGGTGAGGACGATGGGGGAGCTCATAGGGACTTGGCGGACAGGGGCAGGGATTTGGGGCTTAGGACGATATACTTGCTTTCAGTATACAAGATAATTCATCTGTAATCATGGAATTTCATTCATGTCGCCTCGCAATCCTGGTACTGTTCATTCACCTCAGTACGATGGGTTTTACCCCTCAAGCGCTGAGCAAAGCAGAATGAAAAGTCGATGGACATGTCTGCTTTGACTTGCAAGTACATCTGGGAACTTTGAAAGTGATCCTCGATTTATATCTCAGTGCTCATCCACAATTCCAGTCCCTCTTAGCTCAGTTGGTAGAGCGCGTCACTCGTATAATTGTAATATCAAGTTTGCGATGACGAGGTCAGTCGTTCGAATCGGCTAGCGGGAATTTCTTTGACTGCAAGCTCATAGGACTGAGAATGTTTTTTTGACAATCTGACATTTGTGGGGAAGATTTGTTACTCTCCAACCAAATGTCCAAGGTGCTCAAGTACACATTATTTTGGGCGCATTGAGGTTTTTATGTCATTCGCAAGTCATCCATCAATCCTACCTACTCTTCGTTGCTGTGACTTACTTATTCAGGGTCTAGGCATTCGACCCAGTCCCTGTGGTAATTCCTGCCAGCTTACCAAGGTCAATCCGAGACTCCAAGTCATTAACATGTAGAGTTGCGCCATCCCAGTCTTCGGCGCATACATCCAGTCTTGCTCTAGGCCGCCACTGAGTGGGTAAAGAATCCAGAAGAGTTACATACTGACCCTCTTAGTTTGGTCGGGTAAAGCGTGTCACTTGTTTACGAAGACATGTCCTCCGAGTCCCATGACCAACGTTGTCAAGAATTCAATTTCCGGTTGCTGGGGGGGCAAGAAGACATGCAGTGCGGTCAGTGACTATGCACTGAGTACTACCAGTACGCCGCTGCAAAACACGAGTGAGTAATTATTTTGGATTCCGACTAAGCACGACAAGGGGGTTCAAAAAATATAATTCATGACCAGACGTCGATTTTTTTTTTCCTGGGCTCTACCTTCAGACTAACTAACTATGTAATCATTCCCACGGCTATATATAGTAGATCAAGATAAGATAAGACCCCACTCTATTCTCTACCATTGCTCTGAACTCGTACATGCATCGCAGGTCCATTTTTTAGTATGGTAATCTAGTGTAACACGCTCCATATGGTACCGCACATGATGTCGATCCCATTAGTACTTGCAATGGCCTTGAGTGACAGAAAACATACCCAAACAGTTTTGCAGCCTTTCCTCTGACATTCAACTACTGTCAGCACTGTTTTTTTTGGCCTCGGTGATGCCTCAGTGATTGTAATATCACAAATGCACTTGAAAGAGTCATTAAATTCCATCTACATTTGCTTTCTTGATGAGCGTCGTGATGGTTCCCCCTGATTTGTACCACCATACATTGTGATATTAGATGCAGCAGCAGACTCTGAATTGATGCCCATCTCGTTGCTGGAGAGGATGACTGGAGTGTCTGAAGGAGTGATTTATGAGTTGACAAGCTTCATGAATAATAATTAACTAAGCTTGTATGTCCACACCTGTTGAACACGGAATTGGTACCATTGTCTCATGCATCTCAGGTAGGTCTTCGTTCTCCTCAGTGAGATTAGGGGGCACCTCATACCGATTGCGGCAGTGCTTACACCATACTTGCTGATATCATTAGCAAAAATTGCAATTCTGGTGCATGCGCCTGTAGCTACACCCGTGAAACCGTGTTCTGCACAAGTACTATATGCTAAATGCTCCAGAAAGTGCCCCAAACAGGTCAATATATTGGGTGTCAAATTTTTTTTTCGCAGCCTGGTCAGTGGACTAACTAACCTACCCACGATCGGGCGCTAAAATCTTTGGACCCCCTTGAAGCACGATGCCATTGTCAGAGAGTAAGGATTGGAGATTATTCCTACGAGATGAGGAGGTGCTCTAACAGTGTGTGACTGCTACTTTCTAAAAGCAATACAAAAATTCAAGCTCAAGGTTACCTGAGTCCTCTGAGTCTACTTCCTGCGGAAAAATACAAATCGATTGAATCTCAGAGTACTTATTAAACAAAACGAGAATTTTGGCCCGAAGACTTTGACAGATGGCGCTCTTCTGAACTTAAGTCACTCTTCGATGCCCAAGTGGAGCTGCCCAAGTGATCCTAAGCACCTGACGTTTCGGTGGGATGATCCTCAATAAATATTATGATATCTGAGTGATACTAGTACACTGTTTTGTTTTGGGGAGGCTAGAATGGACGAGTTGGAATATTGGCTCGAGTTCATAGTGTTTACAGTGCGTCAGAGACTTGGTCAGAGATGATCGTATGGATTTTTGGTTAGTACCGAACAAGTCTTTTGATGTCTCTTAAGCCCATGGCTTGTACCAAATGTAGCACGGCACATGCAAAGATACGGTTTAAATCCGTAATGCGAATTGAGATGATCTTAAAGACAACAGTGAGCCACTTCGAAGCAGACGCTGCAATAACCATCAGATACTCACTGGTAAGATTATGGCGGGCGGTGAATGTAGCGAAGCATAAATGGCATACTGATTTTGCTCCTTTGCTTGGCCCGCGGCGCTTTCGACTAGCAGCTAGAACTCTAGGCGAAGCTACCTGGACCTTTCGGGCATTTTGCGGTCCTAGTATGGACCCATGCTCATTACTGGATTCGTTGCAGTAGTGGGACTGTTGTAGATCCTCTTCGACTCTGGGATCTAGTGCTTTGGGGGAGACGGTGTAAAGACCGCTAGGACTCGAGTGCTCAGCGGCTTGATGGATCTCTTTGTAGGGAGTCAACAAATGGTGATTATGATCATCAACTTCTTCCTTAAAATCAGATGGGGAGGAGGGCAGGGTCATCTGAATAATGAGCAGTATCCGGGCTAGCTGTCCTGTAATTAGCGAAGAAAAGTTCGCTAAAGGCTGGTGGCGAGCGTTGGTGGGCCCCTTCCAGGAATTGAAAGCTGGGTAGGGTTGAGGGCCTGACCCGCATTAAGAACAAGTTGAAGTTGATTATGACTCGTTTTGTATCTCACCTCCCGGAGGGAAAACACCCGTTCAGCTTAAAACGGGCCAAAGCAAAATCTCGATCGCTCAAATCAGGTTAGAATAGCTTCAACTCTGCCACTGAGTACTTGAGTTTTGGCGCCATGTCATACGTCAACTCGTGATCCTAATCTTCAATACTGTGAATTATTCCGAACTTCCTAGGCATTCAATTATTGAAAACCTCCCAAGGACAGACTCCCTGTAGTAACTCTCGCAAGCGGCAAGCCTATTAAGATCAACCCGAGTCATGTAGAATTGTGCCATACCAGTCTCGCTATGGGCTGCCAAGTTAGTAAATAATTTGGAAGTTCAAGAAGAGCCTCTCTGCCCTCTTGAATAGGTGAGTTTGGTAAAGCGTGTCATTCTAAAGCGTGTCATTCGTTTGCTCATAAAGTCAGGTCAGGGAATGTACTGTTGGTATGAGCCGAGACGCTGTACGTAGTTTACGGTCCGTAGTCACATGTTAAATTACTTGCTTGTCTTAATACCACGTCGTCGTTTATCGTTCGCGTCCTTTTGTGGATATCCCGGGTCTAAAGTTTAACAGGTTATGGGCAAGTGTTAACCACTGCTCTGCTGCTCAACTATTTCCTAGGTCTTTTCCTATTGTTAGCTGTCACGATCAGCACCTCCCTTTTTATTGCCTGCTGTCACGATCAGCTACCTCTATCCCATCCTTTCTCATCCACCATCTTATTCTATCATGGTCAAACCTTCTGATATCGTCAAACTCACGGGTACTAACTACTGGACCTGGAAGAACCAAGCCCAAGCTTTATTGCTTGCAGGAGGGTACTGGAATGCTGTTGATCCTCAGTACCTGTCCCAAATGGTGCTGTACAAGCCAGAGCTTGGACTAGTGACAATCTGAAAGCTTATGGGATGCTCTAGATGTCTGCATCAAGGTAGACAATGTAGGTGTTTCAAACAGTGGCCGTCTTCTTTGGGCACAACTTGAAGCCTTCTATACACGATCAGACCCCGCTACTCGTTTGTTACTCATGTCCCAGTTCCAATCCATCACCCATGACATTCGGAAACCCGCCGATACTTTCCTTCAGCAGGTGCTCAGCATTGAGCGTCAGCTTCATGCTATCGCTGTTGCCCTTCCTACTTCTTTCGTTCAGGATAAAATCCTGGGTGGTCTCTCTGCGGTTTATGGTCCTATCATCACAGTCCTACACAATGAATCGCCTCAGAAATCTGTTGCTGACATGATCACTACGATTAATGCCTGGGAGCTTAGTGACCTGCAGAAACGGGATTCCTTGATCAAGGTTGCACGTTCTGGGGGTGATTGGGTTCCTGCTCTGCCTTCTCCCAATCATGGGGGTGAGAGTGAAGAAGCACTTTACACTTCTCAATCCCGTCCTCGGAAGTCTTCTCGTTTTAACCCATCATCTAACTCATCGACTCAGGCCTTACCAGAATTTGATTGGACTAACACCAAGCAGCGAACCAATGTCTGCTACCGATGCGGTCAATCTGGTCACTTTGCTCAATATTGCATATCGGTAATGCCTGATGATGTCCGCCAAAGCATTATCCGCAATCGTTCCAAATATGCTGCACTTTTAACTGAACCTGCTGAACCTCAGGCTGCCCCTCCGATGCAGCATGAAGCTCTTGCAGTTATGGACCTACCTCTCACCATTGACCCTGATGCCATGTCCCCTGAAGTACGTGAAGCATGGCTCAGTACTGTTACTCTATCAGAGGCCCACACTGCAATTCTCACTCCTGATTCATCGGCTCCTTCATCTCCTACTGATGCAACAGTGAGCTCTACTCCTAGTAGTGCTAGGAAGAAGAAGAAAAAGAAGAAAGGGAAATCATCATTGGGCATGTCTAGTGTTACTCATTCTTTTGAGGAGTTGAATCTTGCAGATGCAGCTACCTTGAGCGAGATTGAGGCGGATGAATATGAAGGTTTTTAGTCAATTATCTCTTTTCATTTTTACTGCTTTTAGTCATCTGGTGATTCACATTATTGAACAGTTTACTTTCTATGTAGATATAGTTTCTGGGGTGTCTCGACTCAGGGGGTGTGTTGGTATGAGCCGAGACGCTGTACGTAGTTTACGGTCCGTAGTCACATGTTAAATTACTTGCTTGTCTTAATACCACGTCGTCGTTTATCGTTCGCGTCCTTTTGTGGATATCCCGGGTCTAAAGTTTAACATGTACAAAGATAACAAAAAATAGAAGGCCAGCAGAGAACTTGAAGTTCATTCGTGTAGTCACGCTTTCTATTTTTTATTATCTTTGCACAAATCGTCAGGTTGCGGCGTATTTTTGTAATACCCTCAATCACGT